TATATATATATATATATATTTTGTATATACACAGTAAAATGTACACTTTATACCCGAGACATTGTTTCCTGATTATGTAATCTACATCGTATCTATATGTGCCACTATTTCTAATAAGAATCATTGATGCTTACAAATGTTAATGTAACATAGCGCATCGATGCGTCAAAATAATAACGGGTATCGCGAGTTATAAATCAATATCTAGGATTACTCACCTTGCATAGGCCGCGTGGCAGCGCTGCGTGACATTGTTCGCGTGGTTTAGTTTTAGGCTGTATTTTTGAGTTAGGCGTTTGTGGACGGAGTCTGTCGATATATTCGTCGACGCGGAAGATGACAGCCGTTAAATGAAGCGACCTTCCGGCGCGACGCTGGTCAGATGTTATAAAGTAGGCATCAAAGTCGCGTTGACGCGATATAAAAACGTGATGCGTAAAAAATTCTTCCTCTGTCTGGCGAATGATCAACGTCGTCGTGTTCAAATGCCACGTGAGACTGTTAACGGACAGGATCGTCTCACTGCCAGCAGCGACAGACGATTCTGGAGTACAACGTCCCGTTTCCAGAACGTCGAAAAAACGACGCGAAATTGATAATTCTTCTACCACAGGATGCAAAAAATGAAGAGGATCGAGGCACGTAGGTGACGGGGGTAATGTTCTTGATGGTTTTCTCGATGCACAACAATCACTACCGAAGACAAGCAATAAAAGATACTTCCTGCTAGATATTTGACAGCGTTGACGGTGATATAAGGTATGGTGCGGCGATACCGCGATCACGCTCAAGTCGGATATTCCGCGGCGAGATAGTGACGACAGGATATCCAGTGTGGGGGATATGAATGATTCTTTGGGGGTGGCGTCCATGTGGGGTAGATAGTCACCTCCGGCCTTCCCTCCCGCCTGCAAACCACCTCTTTCTCCTCCAGGATCCCCTTCTCGTCCTCGAGGTGCCCCAGCTTTCGGTGGTGCCTGCGGACACCACCCTCGCACGCCGCCAAATCTTACCGATCAGCTCCAACGTTGTTAGGTCTCGTGGGTGCAGGCTACAACAACAAGGAGAGACCGCAATCATTAATTCTTTTATTTTATTGTTCATTCAATGAAAAACCATCAATAAATTCTTTCAATTTTTCTTAAATATTAGTTTCGCTTTATGATTAATTTCTAAAATAAGTATATACATATATTATATCCGAGGAATGTATTTCTAGGGAATCTTTTAGTTTATTAATTTTTTTAGTCAACATTATATTGTAATTTTTTTTCAATATACTTCCTTTTTAACTGAACATACTTATCCCATTGCAAAACTATTTTTCTCATTGTATGTCTATTGCTCAAACCATCAACATCTCTCTCTCTGTGAGAGAGTATCGTTCATTTTATTATTAACATTGGACAATTTAATAATAATAATGTTACGCATTGCACAATTCTTTGACTTCATCAAATCAGATAATTTAATGACAAAAAATTCGAGTGGATATCTAATAGTTTTGATCATTAATCCACGTATTAAAATTCTTTTTTACGCAGTTTTTTTCCGAATAATTTGGTATTGTGTAAAAAAAATTAAAATTTTAAGACAAATGAGAGTAAGGCACAGTAATTGGTGCGCAGATTCAAATCAATCATCAAACAAAATTATGTCAAATTCTTACATAGATATATTAAATATTAGACACAAAAATATATATTCAAGTTATGTTAAAATTCGAACGTTTCGACCAAACATTTGGGACCATTATCAGTGGAATACCAGAAATTAAACATGAAGATTTCCTTGCACATCACAACAGATAGAGTGACCATCCAGATGCAAATTCCTTCAAATTGGTTCCATGCCAGTGATGAATTGCAAAATTACAAGTCCTAATAGGAATTAGACATTATTAGTTAAAACTAATTATTCAAATTAGAGTAAACTCACCTGCAGATAAGAATGCAAGAAAAGCTCAATAGATAACAAAGTAATTGTAAATTTTAAACGTGAAGATTTTAGATACAGAAAGATATTTGAGTAAGCGTCATAATTTTTTTAAAATAAAATTACAAAAAATAGATTAAATTTACAATCTGATACTGATTATCTAAATCAAACTTATACCGAAATTCTTAATAAATTGTAATGCGATGTATTCACATATATATTCTTACAACATATTTTCAATGCGTATGTTTTTTTCACATGTGGGTCAGATTTTAGGCCCCCCCCCCCTTATATTTATATTATTAGTGACATGTATGTTTTCACTTCATAACGATTCTGACTTTCATAATAATAATATCTTATTAATCTTATTATATATTTTTTGTTCTAATATGTATATAACTACTTCGTTATCCATTGAGCTTTTCTTGCACTCTTACCTGCAGATGTAAGTGGTTTACTCTAATTTAAATAATTAGAGTTTCAATTAATAACGTCTAATTCCTATTTATATTTGTAATTTTACAATTCATCATTGGCATGGAATCAATTTGAAGGAATTTGAATTTGCATTTGGGTGGTCACTCGATCTGTTATGTGCAAGGAAATCTTCATGCTTAATTTCGCTGATGATGGCCTCAAATGTTTGGCTGAAACGTCCGAATTTGAATACAATTTGAATACTATATATATTTTTGTGTCTAATTTTTAATACATCATAATTGAATACACATAGAATTTATTATAATTTTGTTTTATGATTAAATCTGCGCGCCAATTACTGCCTTACTCATTTGCCTTGAAATATTTTTTTTAATTTGGATTATTACTAAACTTCCTATTTTGGTATTGTGTGATTCATTGTACTGATGAGGATCTGAACCGAGGGTTGACACGTATATATGTATTTATTTGCTTAATAAATGGCGTTATATATAATTTACATTTATTTACATTTATTTTAATCAATACTCTATGTTGACTCATATCATCAGCATTACTTATCGTTTTAGATTTAATCACTTGAGTATATTTCATTTATTAATTTTTATTTTTCTTAGATTATCTTCAAAAGCCTTTTAAAAGATGCTATTTATCCATCAATTTATAATTTGTGCGATTCTCAGAACTTTGGAAAATCCCTCCCAGTATATATACCATATATGGTACAGAATATCTCAGAACTCGCGTACCGTCAGTTACCAACGTATTCTCCGTGAAATTCTAAGACGAAAAGCTCTCTACCAAAAAGCAATCCAACGAATGAAATTTGAATAGTGAGATATTGAAGTTGACGAATGGGCGCGCGTGAAATTCGCGCGGTCAGAATCGACACAACCGAGATTGGCGAGGCACTTCAGACATTTGCATAGTGTCAAAGCAATTATATTTTTCTTTAAGCAATTCTGGTTACGAATAATCATTATAAATATTAAATTATTTTTAGTTGTAAATAATCATTACTGTTGTCGAAAATTGTTTGAGTTACTAATAACCATTATCAATGACCAGAATTTTATTTTAGTTATCCAAGATCTACAAACCTAGTTGCTCAGCAAGCAATAACGATAACGAACATGTTTTTTGATTATTATTGACCGACGTTAATTTTATTATCAATTTTATTATCACAAATGTAAAATTATTAAAGGATGAAAGACATTGTTTATGAAAAAAGGATTAAATAAAAGATATATATTTTAATATGCAATTACCTAAATCATTTGAAAAGTTTTGAGTCTCAACGTGAACATAACATTACTCGTCAAAATCATTCTGATATTACAATCGTATATGCTCTGAAAGATATCTGTGAAAATTGTAGTCATCAGTTGGACAACGCTTAGTTGTTGACAGTCATTTGTGCCAGTCGATATTAGTGTTTTTGTAAAAATGAAAAAATCAAATATTGCGGCGTGATTAAGTTCTTGCATTTGATAGGCAATACGCTTGTGCAAATTACAGCCAAATTGGACGCTATTTACGGATTACAAAAACTCTACCCCATAATTTGTCATCGTGAAAAGATGAGTAGCTGAATTTAAACATGGTCGTATCAGCTTGATATCAGGCTGATGATGAGCGCTCGAGACGACCAATAATTGCACCACTACCGATAATATTGAAAAAGTTCACCAAATAGTACTGGACGACCGTCGAATTAAGGTTAGAGAGATAACAAAGACTGTAGGCATATATATATATACCGAAAAAACGTGTATATTATACACTGGGCAACAAAATTAACGCAACACGTGTTCACTCTGCAAAAATAGGCAAATTTTAAGATACAATAACTTCGTCAAAAATTGTCGTATAGGGATGTTTAAAAAAGTATTTTACAGGTAGAAACCTCTACTTTTCGGATCGCTACTTAAAAAAACGGTCTCATGGAGATTTCATGAAGTTACGCAAACATAAATAAAGATATATCAGACCTCAAAATTTTTTATAAAATTTGCGAAGCTCCACGGAGTGGAATAAAAATTGTATACAAATGCGATTTACATCATTCGAAAGAGCGAATCTTTATCTGCAATTTACTTTTTTACGAAGTCCCGTACGATTTTTTTTCATCGAGTTATTCAACGTTGAAGCAAAAGGACCATTTTTGCTAAAAAAGCAAATTAAAGATAAAGATTCGCTCTTTCGAATGTAAATCACATTTGTATACAATTTTTATTCCACTCCGTGAAGCTTTGCAAATTTCATAAAAAATTTTGATATATCTTCATTTATATTTGCGTAACTTCATGAAATCTCCATGAGATCGTTTTTTTAAGTAGCGATCCGAAAAGTAAAGGTTTCTACCTGTAAAATACTTTTTTAAACATGCCTATACGATAATTTTTGACGAAATGATTGTATCTTGAAATTTGCCTATTTTTGCAGAGTGAACAGGTGTTGCGTTAATTTTGTTGCCCAGTGTATATTGATTGAAGACTTAGGCATGCGTAAGCTAATCGCGCGTTAGACCGCGCTTGCTCGCTATGGACTAAAAACGCATTCGAATGAACATTTAACTTGGATCAACTATTTCACTCTTGAGACGAAGGAAGAGTCAAAATTGTGAAAGGTGAACCTGCTCCATTAAAGGTAATGGCGACTGTTTTTCTTTGTTTTTTTTTTGGAATAGTCATGGGGAATTGTGTTCGTCGACTATCTTGAAAGGTAAAACAATAACAGGAATATATTACGCATCATTAATTGATAAGCTGAACATAGAAATTGCGAAAAAAAGAAAACGGCTGCATTTGAAGAAAAAGAAAGTATTATCCCATCAAGATAACGCGCGCGCGCGCGCGTGTGTGTGTGTGTGTGTGTGTGAGAGAAAGAGAAACAGAGGGAGAGAAAAAGGGAGGAAGCGAGGAAGAGAGAAAGGGAGAAAGAGAGAGAGAGGGAGAGAATGAGAATTAATTAATAATATTAACATTAATTAATATTTAATAAAAGAATAACAATCGTATATTTGACACATCGTAGCTATACAGCTATAGTAAACGAAGGATCACATTGAATATTCTACATCTGGTAAACAAAATCGTTAATCGTACTTCTGTTGTAGTATGAGCTCACTAGAAATTACACGAAACACAGTGATCAGATTGTGGCAAGAGGACGGCGAGCATTATGTAAAAATGCAATATGATGCAATCGGAGTGATCCAAGTGACGACACGAGGTATCCAAATGATTTCTTACTCACAGTAAACTCTTCTACGTACTACAGTTTTTCGGCTCGAATCAAATACGTGTGATTCATCCGATCTCGCAATGTTAGGAATTCGGCGGCTTTACAATTTTTTTAACGTTTGTCTCCGATAGATACTCCTCGATCCCTTCGAAAATCGCTCGGCAGCTTATCTCTCTCCGACTCGTTCTCGCTTCTTGAATGTTGGATCCTGCGTCCTTGCTCTCAGTATCGATCTGCCCTGGGCTTGTGCCACAACACAAGTGATCGGCAAGCCCAACAAGGGACATGCAGGCTGCGAGGTCTCTCGTAATCGAGCCATTCCGGTCTAATTGGCCGATAACGAATCGCATGGGCCTGTGGAATCCAAATTTCCACAGAACAGTTTTCTTTCGGTTAAATCTTCTCGCTTTTCCCATGGAG